TATATAATGTCTTAATTTTGGTGACTACTTAGCAAATCATAACAATCACTTTAAAAACTAAAGAAAGCTTTTGTATTATGCTCTTTGAAACAGCTGAATTATTGACTAAGTCTAACTCTTTATAATCCCTTTTATCTTTTAAAAATTGAGAACCTATCATTTTGGAAGGTATTTCTGTGAAGATTTTCTTTATGGATGTCAACTACTTTATAGACTATTCTTTAGTATCTATTTTTTGTTACACGTAGTACTCTACCATATTGCATTTTTTTAAAAAGCACTGTTGATTATTAAATGATGATTTTTGCTGTTTTTAAAGGGAAAATTTACAGAGATTGCTTGAAGACAGAAGCTTTAAGGAAGAGATAGTGCATTTTAGCATTTCAGAAGATAATACAGTAGTGAAAACAGCCCACCGAGCAGATCTGTTTGCTGTTCTGATGAGGTATTTGTATTGTTTAAATTCTGGTTTATTTTTATATTTTTAAATATATGTTTTCATTGATTTCAGAGAGGAAGGGAGAGAGAGACAGAAACATCAGTGATGAGAGAGAATCATTGATCAGTTGCCTCCTGGACACCCGCTACTGGCAATAGAACCCGAAACCCAGGCATGTGCCCTGACCGGGAATTTAACCATGGCCTCCTGGTTCATGAGTCGATGCTCAACCACTGAGCCCGGCTAAATACTGATTTTTTTAATAGTTGATCACAAAAACAATTGTGGATATTAATAGTATTATGATTCTTTCAGTAGTTGTGAAGTTCAACATTACTCTAAGTTTTACTGTTGAGAAGTAATAAAAATAATTCCTTTATTTGGTATGTAACTAAATATGAGATATAAAAGGTATTGACTTTTTGTGTTACTTATTTAACCATTTCATCACAAAACTTTGTTATTAGTTTTAATATTTTTCATTGGATTTTCTTGCTCAAAAAAAAAAATAGTAGTAAATAACAGTCATCAGTCAGATTGTTAGTCTCTATTATAAACCCTTTGAGGTAATAAAATAGAAAGTCCTTACTGCTTTTTAGGGGTCCTGGAATGGCCTAGTCCAGACAGCCTCTCTAACCATATCTCTTCCATTTACCGTGCCCTCAGAGCCCACTTTAGAGTCCTTGGACTTGCCATCCCTCTGCTTGGAACACTTAACAGTTAACTCCTCTTCACTCAGCCTCATCTCCAGAATCATATTATCCGAGATGCCTTCCCTGACCTCATTATGTAAGGTCACACCCTTATCACTCTAGTCCCATACCTCTCTTTATTTTTCTTCACTATACTCATCATCCACCATAGCTCTTCTTATTTCTCTACCTAGAAGGTGAACTCTATGGCCTCTAGTAAATATTGGTCAAATTAATTTTGTGTCCTCTTTTATGATATAAAATCTCTTTTTCTGTTTTTTTGTATTGGTTTTGTTTTGTTTTTTTAATGTTCATATTGCCTACATAGCCTAGAAGAACTAACTGTGGAGGTGATGGTGCTGCTGCTGGTGGTGGTGATCATTCTTGTGTTGCTCCTGGATTTAACAGTAATGCTTCTAGAACAGCCACTTTTTTGGGGGGAGGGTAGTATTTATCTTTATTGTCAAAAGTATTATAGATGTCCCCTTTT